CACAAGTTGAGCAATTTGAGTTCCTTTTGGAATAGTAACAGGAGGGTAGGGGGTGGAGACCATGGCACAAATTTGTCCTGTATAGTTTGCATCAATTATCCCAACATGTACAATTATCCCAGCAATTGTGCTATTCGAGCGCCCGATTAACAAAGCACTCAGTCCACATCTGATAGGTCCCTCAGCATCTAAGGGAACCTTGACAATATCTGTAGAAGAAATTGTTACTGTTGCAGAGGTGGATACATCCATACTGGCTGCTCCGCTGGTTTTCCCTTTGAGCTGGTAGCAGAGGGGAGCATCAGGGGGGTGCATATGGGTTGTACTGTGGCAATGAAGGTACTTGTGTCTGAGCGCGCCTTCTCCTTGCGCTGGCTTTCCCGTTTCCCTGGAGAGGCTGTCCATTGGCATGAAACTTAGAGCGACATTGTTTAGCAAAGTGTCTTAGCTTCCCACAACGGTTACAATGAATACCAGGAGGATTAGGTAAGACCTTTGGCTTTTCCCCATTGCTTTTATCAGGGCAGTTAGCCTTAAGGTGTCCTTCTCTATTACAGTTATAGCATCGAGGGCTAGGACGCAGTATTGCAGCAAGGGCAGTCATTTGGTGATCTACAGTACCCACTTTGGAACATGCAGATACCATATCAGACACAGATGGGTCTCCTGGCAATGCATCCATAATTTTCTGACAATTTTCGTTTGCATTATCTTTTGCTAACTGCTTTAGGAGTGCCTGATGCAGGATTTCATCATCTACTGCTTTTCCAATGAAACTGCAATATGTGCAACAAACTTTAAAAAAGGTTCCCTCGGTTCCTGTTTCACTGTTGTATATCTAGGACGAGGGGAAGCAAGCTCCATAGTTTTAGTCAGAGCTAACATTCCCACCTGCTGACATTGTTGTAACACAATAGGATCCCACTGGGCCTATAAATCAGGGCTACTAAAACAATATTTTCTCAATAAGGCTTCCACTCCTACAGCCAGTTTGGGGTCCCCTGGAGGAAGTCTCATATTCTCCATAGCTACTCTTTCTGCCTGTTTCTGCCGGTTAGAATTAAACACTTCGTATTGTACAGGTTCAAATAAAACTTGAGCTAGATGGTCAATATCATAAGGAGCGAGCAAATCAGCATTAATTGCATGAATCACATGCATAACTTCAGAAGAAATTTACACCATATTTTGCCACATACGTTTGCAAATCCTGAATAGCTTTCCAAGCAAATAGATAATGTTCATCTTGCTTGCCAGAGTTAGGAGCTGCCTTAAAAACAGGATAAGCTTCTGCTCCTGGCTCTATTCCCGGAACAAATGCAGCGTCCTTCATAGCTTGTAAGGGGTGCCCAATTTTGTCTAACAACTCCCATTCCCCCCCTTTTGCAGCTTGTACATGCACCATCTCCCAAAACTTTCTAGGATGACGTGGCATGACTGTGACAGTGGTGACTGCCGACAAAGTCCATGGATCAGATAGTGTTTGTGTCTTTCGGCTCTGGGACCCCTTATGTACAGGTTGTAAGGCTTGACTACGGACAGAGGCATTTTCAGTTTCCTCCACATCTGCATCATCTACTGGGGAGGCTGACGCCACATAATACAAGCCTTTATTAGGTATATCATCCTCATTGTTTTCATCAGTGTCCTCGTCCTCCTCCTCCTCCTCCTCTGGCAGAGGAACAGAGGACGCTTGCCTTTGCTTAGCTTTAAATTCCTCTACAAGTTCCATAGCTGTCTTATACCGGTAAGGGACTATCTCAGTAGGGGTCTTGTATTTACAAGGAGTTTTAACAAGCTTGTGGGGTGCAGGATAGTGAACTTTTGAACCTTTCGGGGTTTTTAGAGCTGGACCCTTGGTAGATTTTTTAGTATGTGTATCCAAATGCTATACTGTTTCTTTTTTATCTGTTAAAGCAAGCAATTCATTGTCAGAGGGGGAGATAGCAGGCGGCGATGCCCCAGCAACTGAAGTTCCCTCCTCCCCTTTGTGTCCTTCTGTATCTGACAGAGGCTCTGTTTCAGGCAACTGAATACCTTCCGAAACTTGTTCATTAAGCCAGTCTTTTAAAAAAAGTCTCAACCAGTATATGCCAGGTGGCAGGCAAACTTTCTACTTCCTTAGCACTCTTGGCACCCTTATAAACCTCTTTCCACAGTTTATCCCCCACCTTCTCCCAAGTCTTTACTCTAAATGCAACTGATGTGTTAGCTTCAAAACCTTGCTTTCTACACCATAGCAGCAAATGTAGCAAATCATAATCTTCAGCAGTTACACCTTTACACTTTAGGAAGTGCTTCCAAGTGGACAGCACCAACTTTTCCTCTTTAGACATCTGATTCCCCATTATCACAGTCTTTGTTCTTGGTGGCTCAGCTTTTCCAGGTGTCAGTAGTTCTCAGGTCCGGGCCCAGGCAGTTTCCTTACTGCTCTCAGCTACGCCAAGCTCCGTCACCACCATCCGTCGCCCGATGGTCAGTAATGCAGTATCACGTCGAGGGTCACCATACATCAGTGTAGAGTCGTGACGACCGATAAAGATACAAGGAGTCAGTTATGTGCAGAAAAGATGTCTTCCTCATCTTTATTTTCTCATCTGCTTTTTTATACCCCTTGCTAGCAGCAAGCAGCATCCTTATTTTTAGTAAGCAAGCAACAGCATTTCATTGGCTAGGATCTATGGGCGATACATTTGGCAAAGCTCAAGGCCTTATTGCAGTTCCCACATCCTAGGCCTACCAACTATACAGCCTGCCTTTGTTTTCTCCATCAGGGCTGTCTACTGACTTTCTTATCATCGAGGATACAGCCGAAAGTTTTCCCAGTCGATATCTCCATCCTGGGAGCTAATAGACCCGCTATTAACCCCTTCAGCTCCTCTCTTGCAGCAGCCAGTGGCAAGTTCATCATAAAGCATGATCTTAGGGAGGCAGTAGTCCTGCATCCTTCAGACGTGTCCTGCCCAACGCAGCTGTGTTCTCAGCAACATGGTCTCAAGACTTGTGGTTGCTGCTTGTTCTAGAACAGACGTATTAGTCACATAATCTGACCAGTGGATGTTTAGGATTGTACGGAGACAGTGTTGATGGAAGCGTTCTAGGAGATGCAAGTGGTGGCGGTAGATGACCCATGATTCGGAACCATACAAGACAGTAGACAACACTGTGGCTCTGTAAACACTGATCTTTGTACTTTTCTTCAAGTGTTTATTTCGCCAAACTCTTTTATGAAGCTTTCCGAAGGCACTATATGCCTTTGCTAACCTGTTGTCTATCCCTCATCAATATTACCATTCAAGGAGACGAGGCTACCTAGGTAATTAAACTGCTGGACTGATTTGAGCTATGATTGACCAATGGTGATATGGAGATGATGGAAGACTTCCTGAGGTGCAGGTTGATAGAGAACTTTAGTCTTCTTTAAGCTGACTTCCAGTCCCAAAAGCTCAGCAGCGTCTGCAAAGCAGGATGTTAAACGCTGCAGAGCTGCTTCTGTGTGAGCGATGAGGGTGGCGTCATCAGCATAAAGCAGCTCCTGGACAAGGTGGTCTAAGGTCTAAGTATGGGCCTTCAGTCGTCTTAGGTCGAAAAGGCTTCCATCAGTACGATATTGAATGTAGATACCGTCCTGATCATCGAGGTCTGCCGAGGCCCTTTGGAGCATCATGCTGAAAAAGACTGTGAACAGGGTTGGTGTGAGAACGCAGCCTTGTTTCACACCATTAGTTATTAGAAAGGACTGAGAAAGCGCATCACCATATCTGACTTGGCCGTGCTGATCCTCGTGGAGTGAGATGATCATTTTAAGGAACTTGGGAGGATATCCTAAACATTCAAAAATCTGCCACAGACCTTTCCTGCTCACAGTATCGAAAACCTTGGTGAGATCAACAAAGGTTTCATAGAGACCTTTGTTCTGTTCCCTACACTTCTCTTGCAGTTGTCTGAGAACAAATACCATGTCTGTGGTACTCCTGTTGGCTTTGAAACCACACTGGCTTTCAGGTAGAATTCCTTCTGCTATAGCGGGTATTAGTCTGTTCAAAGGTATTCTTGCCAGGATTTTGCCAGCAATGGAGAGCAGAGTAATACCACGGTAATTTGAACAGTCTGATTTAACTACTTTCTTCTTATACAACGCGATGATGACTGCATCACGAAGGTCTGATGGTAGTTCACCTAGTTCCCAACAGCGTAGTAAGAACTCATGAAATTTAGCATGGAGTGCTTGGCCCCCATGTTTCCAGACTTCAGGTGCACCAGATTACTTTGTTTTATTCACGAATTACCATGCAGGTTTTTTTAACAACAGTATAGAGGATGAGTGCAAATATGATTTCAAAAAAGCATTACCTGTGTAACTCTTAACTGATCTCCAGCATGTGCCACCGGGAATTACCTTTGATAGAGCTGCATTGTAACAGTTTTAATGCATGTGAATTTTGAAGCAATTACTAAACAAAACACAGTTTCTTGGAGAAATAATAATGCTGAAAGATGAAGACCAAAATAGAGGGGGATAGTTCTGGCTAAGAACTTAGCCTGTTTTCTTGTATGTTCAGTGCATCTTTATTGTTCTCTGTGGTGACTTTGAATTGCAGTTTGAAGAAATCTCTGTTCAGCAATAAATGAATCATGATTAATAACTTTATCGTGGGCATGTCATCTTCCTTAAAATTAAAACCAAGACTAAATGTCTTTTTCTTTCATGTCCTGATTTCCCTTCAGAAAACATTTCGCATAAAGGATATTTTAATCAGGAGGCCTTAAAATTACCTTACTCCTCGAGGCTTGTGACCTTTGCTAGAAACGCTGAATTTTACCCAAGTTAAACCGTACCTGCTAACTCAAGATGAAGGTGAAAAGACAAAAAAAATAGATGCCTCGCCAGCCTTGCCTGGCCTCTGATCAAACTCTCGTGGGAAGCGCGGCGGGCGGGGGGCGGGGCGCCGCCTGCCCCGCCTGCATGGGGCGGACCGCTGCCGCCGCCCGCCGCAGTCAGTGCCGCGAGGGACCGTGGTCGGATCGCCGATCCCTGTGCACATCCCGGCTTGTTCCCGCGCCCCTGCCCAGCGCCCGCGGGCCGGCGCGCAGCGCAGCGCAGCTCCGGGTGAGCGCCGCCGGGGTGAGCGGGCGGGGGTTGGGCTGCGGCGATGCGGGGACTCCCAGCCGCAAATTCCCGCCTCCATGGGCGGGACCGGCTGCCGAGGGGTGACCGGTACCCCGAGCCGCCCGGTCGGTGTCTCCGGGGCTCTCCGCGTTTGGAAGTGGACCCACTGCCCTTTCAGAGGGGGAAAAAGTTTGTGCGGCGCGGATCGGTGCGAAGTTGGGCTGACTTAGGCGAGCGTCTGCGGCATCTCTGCGGGGGGACGAGGGAGAAGGCGGGGCGGCCGGGATGCTGCGCTGCGCTCCACCGGGGTCTGGGGTCCGCTGTGTCGGGAGCGGTCTGGCACGGCAGGCCGTGCAAATTCCAAGGCAGGAGAGAGCCCAAGCGCTTTTCCTGTACCCCGTTCGTGTGATGGTCAGGGAAGCGCGATCATCGGCCCGTCGCCTCCGGCTGCGCACGGCAGCGACGGTGCCATTCCGGTGACTTTCCAGCTTAATGTTTTTGTGGCAGTCCGTCGAGTAGTAACTCTGAGATGGAAAATAAAATATCTCCGCTGCGGTGCTGTATCTTGAGGATAGAGTATGTCTTCATGACATCTGCTTAATATGGAAACTGTTTGAAAAAAAATCAGGAGAAACTGCAAGTTACTTAATAACTTTTATGGAAATAACTGCATGTAATAGCTGAAATCCTGCATTTGAGAATACAAAATCAGTCTTCTACTGACTAATAGATTGTTCAGTATTCAGCTGTTGCTACAAATTACTTGAATAAGAGACGTAACAAAGTATTTTTGGGGCAGTAATACTAATAATCAGTTCTATTAAGAGAGTAGTATCTTATGTCTTGTTTCATATAAAATGCACACTACTGAATATGATGCATATGTAACTAATTTCTACATTACAAATATTCTTCCGAATATTTCGGAAGTTCAATAACCGAAGCACTTGTTATTGTCTAGAGGGGTTTTTTTCCTGTTTTAGAAGTGCCGTTGATCCAGTATGCTCCTCTCTGGCATACATGAATAGTCATTCTCACATAATTTCTCACCATTTCATTTGTTTCATTATCAACTCTTTTGTAAATCTAAACTATTTTCTTAAGGATCTGTAAGAGGAGTACTTTTAAAAGGTACCACATAGGTACTCTTAGTAACATTCTACATTTATAGTTGAATGCTTGACATAAACCCAAACGAAACCAGGGATGACTGAAAATTTTGTCTTGACTCATCCAAGCTAATGTCCTAGGTCTGATCAGAAGCAAGTTGAGTTCTCTATAAACCTGAGTCGATTTTACAGAGGAGCTGAAGACACTGCATTTCGATCCCGTTCCAACAGCATTGTGTTTTATGTACATATCAATGACTGTTGCTCTATGCATACATAATATTTCAATTAATGCTACCTCAGCTGCCTAAAGGGCTGATGAGATGCTTGTTAGCATGTTGCTTTTTTTCAGACATTATTGCCCCTGCATTTGGGATTTGGACATTACATGATCATAGTAGAAAGTAATTACATGAGGTAATAATCTTTGGTAAATAGTAATTTCTTCATTTTTATGCAAGATCTGTGGACAGTTTTTACCTTCCACTAGGTTTTGTTTTGTCAGCAGCTGAAGAGGGCAGTGGCTCATAGGCATAGGAGAGGCATAAAATGATCAGAGTATTGATAGACTGTTATCCACAGTTACTGCTTAAACAAAAATGTCATTGCTGTGTCTGATGGGATGTGACAGGTCTTTATGCTACAGTTGGTAGTATTCTGCTTTAAATTTTAAATTTCACTCAGTCTTTTAGAAGCTTCTAATTACATGCCCTTTCACTAATATTAATAATATGTTTGTCCTTTTAAGACTAATGAAGAAAATACATCCTGCGAAGAGTAAAAGTACTTGATTCTGGGAAGACTCTTAAAGCACCTCTAACTTCAAAGCTGGAGAAAAGTATGAAGGAACAGTTCATCTGACTCCCTCGGCATCTCACACAAAATGGCTCTTCAGAAAAAAACTCTTGCTGGTGTCTTGGAGGAATGGTGTTTGGAAGAACCACTGTTTGGTTGCAGACGGCACCAGAATGTTTGGAAAAAACTGAGACTGATACGAATCGTAGGGCTTCTTGTTAGTGTAGTGGCCATTAGTACTTTCTCACTTTCAATGAGTGCCTTTTTCAAGATGGAACCACATAGCATGGCACTGGTCAGCAGCCTAGATAGCCAAAAGCTGGTGCGTGGTCACCAAAGAACTCTGTTGGATTTCACTGAACAGAATCAAAATGGCACTCTAGACCCACATGCTTCTATGAAATATGAAGCTGGGCATGACAATGAAACAGATGATCATTCAAAGGGAGAGTATCCCACAGACCTTTTCTCTCTTGAGGAGAGAAGACAGGGAGCAGTGATCCTGCATATAATTGGAATGATTTACATGTTTATAGCCTTAGCTATAGTCTGTGATGAGTTCTTTGTTCCTTCCTTGACTGTCATCACTGAAAAACTGGCCATTTCTGATGATGTGGCAGGGGCAACCTTCATGGCTGCTGGTGGGTCAGCCCCAGAACTCTTCACTTCTTTAATAGGAGTGTTTATATCCCACAGCAATGTTGGCATTGGTACAATAGTGGGATCTGCCGTGTTCAATATCCTATTTGTTATTGGAATGTGTGCTTTATTTTCTAAAGAGATCTTGAACCTTACATGGTGGCCACTCTTTCGAGATATGTCCTTTTACATCATTGACTTGATCTTGCTAATCATCTTTTTTCTGGATAACTTCATAATGTGGTGGGAAAGCGTAACACTCCTGACAGCATATTTTTTCTATGTGACTTTCATGAAGTTCAATGTTCAAGTAGAAGAATGGGTGAAGAAATTTTTAAACAGGAACAAGGTTGAGAAGGTAACTACAGATGCTGAAGGAAAGGTTGGTCAATTTTTATTGAATTATATGTAATAATGTCCTTGTAAGTGCTGAGCCTTTTGATATCATAAGGATCCTAATATAGTACAGTAACCAATATAGTACAGTAACCAATATAGTACAGTAACCAATATAAAATAGTTCCATGTTTCGCTCAAATGTCTTTTTGTTTAGTCAAAACTGACTGAAAATAAAAAACAAAAGTAGCCTTCTAGTGAATCAATTTAGCTTCAGAATTATCCCAATCACACAGAAAGAAAGAAAAAAAAAGCCAGCAAAAAGACACAAACCTTTACTCAGCAGTTTGGCACATTGATGAGGTCTGAAATATAGCTACTATTTTTTTCCCTAAGCTTTTGGATAAAGCAGTAACAATATCTGGAGAGAATCTTGTGACAAAACTTGGGTTTCTAAAGACTTTTAATGCACTTTCTTACTCAACCCCCCCCAAATTACTCAGAACAGTATACGAAGGTATTTTTAAATGCATTTTTCATCTACCGATGCTGATAATAAAATAATAACTTCCTGCTGTAATTAGTGGCAATTACATGAAAGAAATCTCTTGAAAAACAGTGACCACAATGGCAAAACTCATAGGTCCTCTGTTTAAGGAGGATGTTTCCCATTTATGGTATTTCCAACTATGCAAACTAATTTTTGACCTCAAGTAAAGAATGAAAGTTATGCACAGAGGGCTTGGTGGGTCTTCAGCAAATATTATAATCTTTTAACCAGCTCTCTTTTTAGAGCAGGCAATATTTAAGGGACCTATGAAGCTGATGTCATAAATACATATATATGTAGTAGTATTTTAATTGGATGCTTAATTCTGAAATTGAATTGCCTGTTTTTATATGACATTGGGGTTATTCATCAGATAAGGTTGTATTATGCAGTAATTACTCAAAGTATCAGGCAGTTAGCTGTTCACTGTTTTGTTTCTTTTGTTTAACAGTCCTGTATGAAGGGTTTGGAAGAGACAGAATCCACTGGTATAAATGCACAAGCATATAAACAGACCACATATAACTATAGAGAAGACCACTCGTTTGTGACTCATGGAAGCCTACTTTTGAAGAGAGAGCTGGATATTTTAGCAGTTATGACAGGTGCATTCAGTTTTAGGGCAAGACACAAAACAAGTCCACCAAAATTAAAATCCAGAAATTCTCATTTATTTATTTTATTTTCTAATTGGGCTTAACAGCTGTACACTTACTTGTAACTTTATTTTTTTCACTTTCGTTCTGTTTTGTTTTTTTTTTCCAAAAATTAGCATACTCATCTTTATCTTTCTCAAAATGCTCAATTGGGATTTTATAAGTAAATGAAAAGAAAGGTCAACAGCAACAAAGTACTTGCTCTAATTAATGAAGGGCTTCTTTAATTATGTTAGTTGGTTTCTAAGTAATGTAAGATTTCACAGTGCATTGTAAGTACTTTGACAGTTTGTGCTAAATGTGTGTAATGCTAGGAAGACTATGGTATATGAAGCAACCATTTAATGAACTTTCATCTGCCCATAAACTGGACAGAAAATGTAAATCTATAACTGGTCTTAAACAATTATCAATATGAAAAACAACTGCCTCCTGTTGTTCAGGCTATAGGGTGAGGTAGAGTAGCTAAATACCAAAGTAATTGCTCAATTATGAACAGAAGAATGAATCATTTGCAAGCCATTTTCAACATTATTTATATTTGAAGTACTCTAGATGGACTTGATTTTTAAAGATACCTTTAGGACCACTCGTTTCATATTTTAATTACTTAGAGTTTGTTCATAATGTAGGTACACAATTTCAGATAGGGATGAAAAAAATCAGAAAACTGGCTACTTTTCCTAAAAACACAAGCTTTGCGTTGTATGTTTCATGAAAATGTTTTTCCTGAATTATCTTGAAGCTAATTAAAATGATAAAATAATGCGTTCACAAATCATTTAGGGGTAAAGGGAGATAAAAGATGCTCTAATTTTATTGCAATTTAGCTAATAAATATTTTCTGCTTCCTGGTGAAAACAGCTTCTGAAGGTGTCAGACCATGGTTTTCCTCTTTAAGTCATGCTGTAAAGGCATATTTTCGAATATTCCATTGACACTTTGAAATTATAAGTCATTATGAATTATTTTATTATTCGGTGGAACAGCATTTAGCAAGATGAATGAACTCATGATTTTCTCATAGCAAGAATTATGTTACAGATTATGTTCTTTGGAAAGAATCCCCGTGAAGTTCTGTGTTCATTTATTTACTATTAGTAGACAATTGTTTTTCTTGCTTTTAAATTAAAAACAAACAAACAAAACAAAAGAAAAAAAAAAACACAAGGAAAAAACCCTATCACATATCCTAGGCCTGATAGAGATGTCTAAGTTTTTTAGCTTAAAAAACTTAGCTTTTTTATCCTTTGTCTAAAGCAAAGGATAAAATCTTTTTATAGTCTGAGATCTGGTGCCTAGTACCAAATGCAATACACGTGTGTTTATTTCCTAAACACTGAGGGTTTTAAGTATCATGGAAGTGATACTCTTGGCTATTGGTGGCAAAGGATGCTTAATTTCTACAGTGTTAGCTGTTAGCTTAGATTGTTCCAAGTCATCAAGATTGTGATTTGTCAATGCAAAATAAAATTGTATATAATCAAGTTGGTATACTCAACACATAATTTGCACTCTCAGGGGCTTTCTCATAGAAGCTTTTTCACTCTCTTTTCCCCAGTTAGGGCAGAGAATTGCTAGGCAGCTCTCTGAAACTGGTGGGTTAGTGTGTCTTGGAATAATTTTATTTCAGGAGAGTGTAGAAAATTCTCTTTCCTCTAACCAATGCTCCCTCTGCCTATCTGTTGTTGATTCTGCTGCTGCCAAACTGGCAAGTGTTCTGCTAAAAAAACTTGTGTGTCGTATTTATCTTTAAGACTGTTGTAATCTGAAAGCAGCTCAAGAAATTTGAGAAGTCTAAATAAGGCATCATAAAGCTGGATAGTTGAAGGGTTAGGTTGCTTATTAGCAAGCAAGTATCAAAGAGTAAAAATCTAATCAGATAAAAAACCTCTTGAGATACTAAAATGTGTTTTAATGTTGAGTATTTTTATTATCAGTTGTCTTGAAGGGTTGAAGAAAGTTTTACATTCTCAAGGACAGTATTTCCCATGAGAAAAGGTCTTAGATATGAATGATTTTTCTACTTAGCTTTCACCTGCTCTAGGTGTATTCATGCGGTTGCTCGAATGCACGAGTATCTCTATAGATGCCTTTCAGATTCCTTTCCCATTTTTAAGAATTAAAGCACATTTTTTTTTTTACTAGAAAAGTGTTACTATTTGATCTTAGCTAGTTTTTCTGATCTTGTTTTCTTTAGTATGTTGGTTACTTGTACAAATGTGAATGTAGACAGAGTACTCTATATGAATTTCATTGTACTCACTATTTTCCTTCACAAGCATTCAAACAAATACAGTCTGGACTATTAAAGGGTCCACGCTGAGAAAATCTGGTAACTTGAATTTTCTGAACAATTTTGTGACACCGATGAGAACAGACTACAAGCTTTATGCATTTAGAGTTCATAGGGTGTATTGGCAAGATCCTGTTTGAACTGTGGAGAGTTGAAGTGTGGAGAGCCCCATGTAACCATCAAGGAAGCCTGATACTGAGGAATGCCAGAGATCACTGTGAAAGGGATGAAAAAAAAGGAGAATAGATGAAAAAGCGAGACAACATGAAAAGACAAAAAGCAGATTGTTTTTAAGTTTACAATGTAGGATGGCATATGGCATATGCAGATCAAGATGGGTCCCTGACAAGAGACACTGAGCCCTATGAGCTGCTCTGAATGTGCCGTACAGTAGGTAGTATGATCCCACCATCAGATATACCCACAAGTTCCTTCCAGCCTAACTTATTCTGTGGCATGATTTTTAGGTTTTATGTAGCTATCCTGCAAAGATGATTTTTTAGGACTGAGGTAGAAACTTTTAAATTAATTTTACATCTTCCTCAGCTGAATGAAGGTGTTTAAAAACAGAAGCCTGAAATTGAGTGTGACAGACTGGAAGAGGAAAATGGGAAAAGCTGATGTTCAAAGTTCTTCAAAATTAGACTTTTTTGACCCTCTGCTAAGGTTTCGGCCTTTTCTTGTTATCTGTCCTGGTGAAGATACATTGAATATATTATGTTGCACTAAAACATCATGTGAAACTACATTTCAGTTGTTAAGTACTTTCTTTAATGTAGCATGGAGATCACTGCAGAAATGCTTGAATCAGATGATTCAGGAAATAACTCAAAACAGTTCTATTTGGCAGCTAGAAGAACAGAATGTGGGTGGCACAAGGATATTGTGCAATGACATCTGTTTCACTGACAGTAGCATTTTAGATAAATAGCTTATGGTATAGTTAAGACAGTTTTTCTACATTTATGGAGAACTACATTTGTAAAATGAGCTTTTTTTACCAACAAGGCATAGTTAATATTATATTGCCAATTTTGTTGTCTTAAAAGTCTTGAATAGCTTGTGTGTGATATTTTAAGATCCACATTGATCTCAAGTGTTGCCACGTTTCATTTGATGGCAGTGTTTGCATTCTAAAGGAACGGTTGTTAACAGTATTTTTAGGTACTTCCCTGCTTAGTGGCTGTATTAACTCTACATATACACAGTCACTATTATAATGTATGATCTAATATGTGTCTGTTACAGGGAAGATATGAATTATCTGCATGCATGTAGGAAAAACTGAAACTCCTGAACCGTTCTTTTTCAGGGTTTCTTAATGTTGAATCCACAGTAACTGTAACTCTATAGAATAAGTTTTCTTCTCTCACTACCAACAACAGATTTTTTTTCATAGTTTTCACAGTTCATAGTGTTTCATGTTCTTAGGGAGATCAGTCTTATTCTACAGACATTTCTCAGTTGGTCTACTTGTGCAAGCGTGTGTGTGAATATAGAGCTATGATATCTGGATCTTGCAAGATAGCTACATTGTTTAAAATACATGTTTGGAATGTGAGCATCATCACTGTCATTGTCCATCTTTTGCTTTGATAGAAGTCTGGTTTTGTGTCACATTTTATCTGTTTTTATTATATAAAAAATTTTTAAGCTACTTCTGTGTTAACTTAATGTTACTCTAGAAGCACTAACTGTTAGTTTGCCTTGGGTTTTTATGATTGCTGTTTCGGTTTAGGGCTATAAACTGACATAACCAAAGGCTGGCACTTTATATATGCAACTGTTAGTACAGTGAAATGGATACTATTCTCTGTTTCTTTTAGCACCTCTCAGTAATTTGTTGACTACAAAACAATGATAATAGTTTTCACTGCTGAACCTCTTGTTTTGTACATTTGAACCCTGGTAATGAACAAAAGTGACAGCAGGCAAATGTAGTGTAGATTAAATGCTCTTAAATCATGGGCATCCACTAAGATTCATTAGTCAGCCCTTATTGATTATGCTGGGAAAAAGAAAGGTAAAACCGTGCCACCTTTAATTAATAGCAAAGGGAAAACATACTCATCAATATATTAGAAAAATAAAAAGCATATATAATTAAAAAGAAGTCAGATGATATTTCTTAGAGACTGCACAAAACCAGCTGTGTTGGCAATTGTTTGCCATGCTGTATTTCAGAACTGCAGACGTGATTGAATTTGTTGTGCCAGAAGCTGTACAAGGAGAGGAATATGAAGTCCCAAAGTCTTGAGAGTTTATAAATGTTTTTCCATACTTTAGTCCAGATTGTCAACAGAATGTGGGAGCTACAGAAGACTGTAGGTGGAATTTCAATCCCCAAATCAATATACCAGACCTCAAAATATCTGCCTGATTTGGGGTGCTTAATCTCTGAAGGAGCTTTACTTTAAAACAGAGAAAAACAGAGAAGATGTTCAGATGCCATTGTTTTGCTTCCAGGCTTGTTCAAAAATGCCAGACCTAGGTACAGCAGCATAGTACATCTGCTTTTCCATCTGACCCATATTCCTCTACTTTTTCCCCCAGTAGTTCTCCAGATTTACCTCACAAATAAAAGTTTAACAAAATCCAGTGGCTTTTACAAGTTCTTCAGATTTTGGTGATGAGAGGGCTCCACTTCTGTGCCATTACATACAGATCTCCCACTCACTTGCTCATTTTCAGTGGAGCTGCACTCATTATATTTTGAGTGGTAAGGCACAGCTGACTCCCCTATTTTTCTTGTCTTGTTTTAAATGGCTGTAGTGAGCCTTCCACAACATGTGTTTTAAAGTGTGTGGAAGCTGCCCTACAGCAGTGCTTGTTGCAGTGTTGAGGGTGCCATACTTAGAGTGATGCTCTGGGCACTGCTGACTTTGGGGTGACCTTGGCCTTTCTGAGTGGTGACACTCCCCAGGCAGCCAAACAGTGCACTGCCAGGGCCACAGGACAAAAAAATTAGATTAGATGAAGTGCTTCTTCCCTGCTGATGATCTGGGGTTTTTTTGGTTTTATTAGCAGGAGTCAGTTTTCCACTGCCAACTGCAGAGGTGAGAAAAGAGATTCTTTTTTGTCCTTTCTCCTCTGATTTTTTTGCCCCAAGAATTAATGGATTTTTCTTTTGCAACTGTCGAATAAGATTATAGCCAATTCAATTTTTTTACTGCATAATGGATATTATGTTCAGGCTGAAGAAAGTCCTACAACAAAAGAGATGTATAAGAGGAAGTCAGGAAAGTTCTGAAAAATAAGGTATGTGCCCCTACTTGTCTTAAAAAGATCTATGTGAAATAAATGAGTATTGTTTTATACACAGGATATAGAACAGATGGGAAAATATATTAGAGATGAGTGTAGGTAAACATCTGTAACATCTGTAACAAGACATATCTATCTAGCAACCTCTTTTGCTCTTTATAAAATAAATTTCAATATAAATAATACTTCCTATTTTCTCCCTAGGCATTTACCATGTTTTGCCTAACCTGCAAACTGTGACCAGAGTGGTGTTCCCAAGTCTGTAGAATAAAGAATGGAGTTTCCTTTGCCTTAACCTAGATTAGCCATATTCCATTGTATTTCAGCCAGCTTTTATTTAAACACTGTTTTTTATTATTTATTATTTAACTTAATGTCTGGTTCCATAAATCTGTATGGCAGTAAGTGTGCTATTGGCACAAACTAGAGATTCAAATTCTGTCAGGGTGCTGACAATTATTTTAGAACCTACAATGACAAGATAGAGCAAATACTGGGTAATTGTAATGAATTTATTATGCACAGATATGCATCGTAAGAGGAGGCATAAGAGATTTATAAAAAGAAAGGTGGCTGGTTTTGTGATTAGTTTTTTTTATTCAAAACCCCTTATTAAGTACTTATCTGAAAATCACTATCTTCCTTTATCAGTACAAACCAAATATCTTAGTAATACTTAGCTGTGCATTTAAAAATTCTGGAAATTTGGCCTGTGAAATAAAACTCCTTCTTATAGAATGCTCTTGACACCGTACTGTTCTAAGACAAGCATAAATGTTTTAACTATTATTAATTTTCTTACCAAAGTATTGAGATGATAATCTGGTTTCCATTAGACTAGGTCCTTAGACAATTGTATGAAATCACAGTTCCTCCTCTCAGTAACTCACGGTGTAAAAAGATAAATACTATTCAGAGTACCTGATGAGAAGAACATGATTTATCATGTATATAGTTTTATTTACATTGATATATGCTTACTCTTCTCTACAGTTAGCATACCATCAGTCTTTTCCTTCTCACCCAAGCTGTGACTGAGTTGTTGATTATTTATTAAACATAAATGTTCTAGAAATAATTTAAATAAATAGTTTATTTCTCCATGTGATCTAGCAATAGATCTTTGCAAGTGTTAGTCAATGATAGATTTGGTAGAAGGCAGCATCTTTTTGTATAACAGGACCTAAGTCAAAGTAGTACTATTGTTGCTCTGTTTTGCTTTTGGAGAAAACAGGCAGATCAGATGGTATGGGTTTAGTTTGGTTTTATTGTAAATTTGTGTGTGTGAAATTCTTGCAATTGTATTGTTAAGTGCAGGTCAGTGACACAGGCAAACTAAAAATCCCAAGTTACAGCAGCCTTAGGGCATGCTCTTGGCAAACAAATTACATCTAACAGACAATATATTGTAGTATGTTACCACATTTCATTATTTTGCAGGCAATACCTGTATCTTAGAGGAAATACAGTTGGTATTTGCTGTCATTGGTCATTCACTGGTTTACATGTGTTCCTATCTGAAAAAAGGAAATGAAAAAAATGCAGTATTGGAAAAACATTGCCTTGCTGGGTCTTGGGTCTTGGGAGAGCAATGTGAATTTTATGTGTCGATCATGTATTTGTTTCTACAGCAGGTGGAGGGTTCAGAGCTCGTGTTGCCTCGAAAGCAGCTCTATCTAGCAGTATAACTACTGCTCTGCCTTAACCAACAGTGGCTCACTTTGGGTGATTTTACTGTCCCTGCCAGATGCAATTTCATTAGGACAGTTCAAAGAACAGCTACTGCTCAGTTACTGTGTTTTGCACTATTCCATTACTATTCCTATGTTCTCCGTATTGTGATTTACATGAATAGCTATAAATAGCTATGTTCTTGGATGACTTCCTTTGTGCAATGATATTAAAATTGCTATGAAGCCATACACTTAAGGGATTAATAAATTGGCACAAAATTTTTTCTTGTTTGAGGAAGAATAAAGATAGCAGCGAATTTGTACTGCAAACTACACTGACAAATTAATCAAAAATTTTCCTCAGGAATTAATCCTGCTTTATCACTTCTTAACTGCTTAATGCTGAGAGTCTAGTCTGAAGTCAGCAGTAATACCAGTGACATTTATTGCATAACCAACTAGTGTAAACTCTTCACCCTCTCACATTACTGTAAAACACCTCTAGTGGATATAGAGCACTAAGGAAAAGGCACGTCTGCTGTCACAGCCTGTGTTGGGTGACCTTCAAGGCTTCATTCAAGACCTGTCCAGTTATGTAGATTATTGCCCAAGGGAGAAAGTTGAAGTTTGCAGGGTTTGTAACACTAGAGGATTAGCACCTCTTTTGGGATCAATCAGATGTTAATTTTGGTGTTTTGTTTTTTTTTAATTTGTGCTGCAAGCTTTCATCAAGTTACTAATTGAAGTCCTTTTGCTGATTCCATGCACAATCACCAAGTTAGCTAAAATTTATGGCAATCAAGTGTTTGAGTGGAAAAAAATCAGATTTTGGAACTCCAAGAATTACTTTGTTCCGAAGTAGTTAGAAATAATTCATATTATTACTTACAGGTCATCTGAAGTAATTTGAAAGCATCAGGCTCTCTAGCAACTACTCTTTTCTGTATATTTTTATTTAAATATTCCAATTTTTCTGCTTTATTCTTAAATTCATTGTCTTTATTTACTACACTTTTAATTTAGAATGTTTCTGGTAGAAACATATTCCGTTTGAAGTCTTGATCTGGGCTGGATTTGTAGTGCTGCAGTGATATACATAATTATTAAATACTCCGCAAAGCTTGGATTAAGAAGTTATTATATTCTCTCTATGTTGGAAACCATGAAAAACTGTTAAATTCTCCAGTTCTGAATGAGTTTTTTGGAAGCAGACACAACAATCCTAGTTTCTCTCTGGAAGTCACAGACAGAATATCTGAGTCTCCTCTCAAAACCAGTGGCAAAATTCCTTTAAAATTTAGTCAGAGACTGATCATGGGCTGCATTTTGGAGGAATATTGCTACTGGTTTTTGTGTTCAGTTTTTGAAGTAAAATCACTACTTGCTGCCACTCAGAATCTTCTCTACACATTATAATGAAGTAGTTTTGTAACCTTTTGATTGTCTCATTCTCAGTCTGTACTGGAACCATTAACCATTTGTGTGTGTGTGTGTGTGTAGGCCCACCTGTGCATACATGTGCATATATGCACACATAATTGTCAGTCTGAAAAGGTAAGTGAGAAACAGTGCAGATCCATAGGATGGTAATTTTGCATGCTTCCTACACCATTTTACCTGTCTTCTGCCTCGTGACCCATTTCCATAAGACCTACTCAATTATTTAAAGTTTCTGAGCAGCACATTTCTCATAGGTTTTTTCCAAATTAGGTATTCAGAGAAAAATGTCTATTTTTCTCCTTAAATTTGGACACCTAAGAAACAAAAAATCATTCCTGCCTGAGGCCAAGGACATGATGTACTAAGCTATTGGCATATTTTATTGTACCTTAATGTATCATATTAGTAATTCCCTATCCTGTGTCTCTACAGAGAAAGAAACAGGAGGTCTTTTCACTGTAGTGGGTTGATTTCTTGCTTTCCAGTAAGGTAATGAGGACTTGATTCTATCACGGGAATGGCCCAGGGTGTTATTCTTTACAACATGACAATTCATGCAGAAAAAAAGGCCATTTCTTATACAGATGAAAGGCCAACAGCTGCAATTACAGTTACTAAAATTTGTTACATAAGCAAGAAACTGTGTAGTAAGTTGGGACATGAATTTAAGATATTACTTTCTTCACTTTAATTTACCCAGAAAGCATAAGTCTTTTTAAGCAAAGGATTAGAAAAGTTGCCAAAACCATTCCCTACTTAGTTTACAATATATTCATACATATATTTCTGAATATATTAGTAATTATTTGCAAATATCAGTATTGAAAATAAGTATTTTAAAATATATTACTACTGGAATTACTTATTTTATTGTTTGGATAACTTCCTGAGTCCCTTTTTTGTTTGCAAGTAATGCCATAAGAGTATTTAGAATGTAATATAGTGTATATGTATTTAGCATTTAAAAAAAAAAAAGGGCATGCAGCCCCTTCTTTTTAGAGCTATGGGAAATAAATGTTGATTTATAATCTCATACATGGACATGGCTGAAAAATACAGACTTTCATTTTAAAATAACAGCAATAGGCTCAGTAACAGGCATGGACTGAACTGCAGACTCATGTCTTAGCTTTGGATTTAAGGGTCGAGATGTCGTTCTCTCTTTCATTTAATCGTCTTAAAAAACCTGTGGCTTTCAAGCCTTCTAGAAGATTGTACAGTGTGCTGTAGGAAAGTTTTATTTCTGCTTGCTTGATTGGATTACTGTGGGCAAAAAAAAAAGGTCAGCGTATTGACAGCAAACCAGTCTTGAGGCAAGGTAAGAACACGTGACATCCGAGAGAAACATGGTCGGGCTTGGTGGAAACAAACCAGATAGCATACATGAGGCTGTCATTTAGTGGTGTGCTGTTTTTTAAGCATCTTGGTTAAGCATAATCTTTTTACCAAAGTTTAAATGTTAGTAAATTTTCTTTTTAACATTCTTCCCATGATTAACATTATTGCCCCTCCTTAAAATTTTACGAGAAATAGTAAGGAAAAAAACTGAAATGAAACTTGAACAAACCTGTAGGTGTAGATTTTTATAATTACACTGAATAAAAGGTAGTTTTGAAGTGGATGACAAGTTTTGCTGTTGATTTTGTTGAAAGTGAAATTAAACCCAAAAGTTAGGGCATTGAGAGTTATGATTTTGCTGCTTCTCAGATCTCTATGTGCAACTATATAATTCCAAACCTCTGAACTGCTCTTGTTCTCTATTAAATCACCCTTAGTAAACAAGGAAAACAATTTCTTTTGGACTTGTAGCAAGCAAAATGGGCATTATCAGTTTCCTGTGCCCTTGAACTCAAAGTGCAAAAGGGCACTCAGTGTTTCACAGCCTGATCTGTCCTGTCTGTGGTTAATTTTTGGATTATTGATAAATATCAAAGCAATTATTGTATGCTGGGACTATAATAGTATTTTCACAGACCCATCATCCCTAGAAACCACTGCTGCCTTAGTTGTTTTTAGGGAGTCTGTCTCTTAAGGGAAATACTGGATATGGGTAATACTGGGAAATACTGGATATTACTTTCTGAAAGGTAGGAAAAGCTAATGCTCTACAATTTGTTAATTAGTGCACATGCAGGCACATTTTTGTGAGTGATACAGTGGAGGAAAACTTTTCTCTGGTCTTCCTATGGAGAAATACTATGCAAAAATAAAAAGACTAATTTTCAGATTTGATTGATCTGCATTCAGAATTGCCAATGAGAAGCTCAAGATGTAGACAATTGCAGAATCCAGTTCTTGGCCCCATATTCGTTTGGCTTAGCTGTGCTGCCTGACCTATGAACATAGCCTCCACAGGTTACTTTTGTGATCACTACAGAGAAATGGGCATTTTTATAAAATAGATTCATTGAGTTTGGAAAAGATACTTAAGATCATCGAGTCTAGCTGTTAGCCTAGCACCTCCAGTTCCACCACTAAACATGTCCTTAAGTACCACATCTATGCAGCTTTAAAGTACCTCCAGGGATAGTGACTCAAAGCACTTCCCTGGGCATGCTGTTCCAATGTTTGACCAACCTTTCAGTGAAGAAATTTTTCTTAATATCATAGCTAAACCTTCCCTGGTGCAACTTGAGGCCATTTCCTCTTGTCCTATCCCTTGTTACCTGGGAAAAGAGACCAACACCGACCTGATAACAACTTACTTTCAGATAGTTTTAGAGAGCAGTAAGGTGCCTCCTGAGCCTCTTTTTCTCCAGGCTAAGCAACCCGGGCTCTCTCAGCCTTTCCTCATAGCTCTTGGGCTCCAGACTCTTCACCAGCTCTATTGCCCTTCTCTGGACATGCTTCAGCACCGCAATATCTGTCCTGTACTCAGTGAAGGGCCTAGAACTGAAAATGGAATCTGAGGTGTGGCCTCACAATGGATGATCACTGTCCTTGTCCTGCTGCCCACATTATTGCTGAGAAAGGCCAGGATGCCACTGGCCTTCCTGGCAACCTGGGCCAACTGCTGGCTCATGTTTAACCGGCTGTCAACCAATACTCCACCAATAGTTCTTTCTTGTAAGGATTAATCCTCTCCTGACCTGAAACTGGGCAAAATTAATCAGGGCTATATCATCTGAAGCAATAGGCTGGTAAAATTTGAAAAACCATCTCCTGTGCTTTTATTGCTATACCCTGAATACTTAACCACAATGTTGCCTTTTCTAACACCTGGAATTACGTCAGTGTGAGTACATGTGTGAGTGTGACAACCTGGTGTCATTTTGCACGGGGTCACCTTTCAGATAGAGGTAATTAAAAGTTACTCTTTTTCTATGCCACCAAGCAAAATGAAATGCATATTCAACAGTTAATCTAGTCTGTGAATATTTCATTTGCTCCCTCTCTGCTCAGGTCAGTATGTAGGTATCACGTGTGGTTCCAAAGCGGTACATAAGGCAAATAAGCTATTAAGTGAGGCTTACTGTTATTTATAGAAAAGTTACCAGCACTGCAGCCAGAGACACTGTTAACATACGTGATTCATAGCAGATTTTTCTGGGTTATCTTTTCAATAAGACAAGGTATAATTTTAACTTTCAGAGAATTACAATATTGCTTAACTACTTAACCCAATTGTTAATTAATTAATTTTTTACTAGCCTTCCGTGTGCACGTCTGAACATTTACAACAAGTGAATTACATTGTATAGAGCTCCTAAAATAACAAGGAAACCCTTGCTAGGATTCTGCAACTCCGGCTTCCAATGAAAAAAGAGTGATTAATTATGAAAATCCAGATTACGTTTTCCCTGCCCATCTGCTTTTAACTGTTTTTAGATGTTTGTTCTTCAGATTTAAATGGTAATTATTATTTTCAAAAATTTCACAACACAGTGAAGGAATAGAGCCTGCTGTAAGGACATATGTGTACACACAGGCCTTAACAAAAGGAAATCACTTTGCAGTCATGGCTCATTCAGAATTATTGGTTGAGTTTGGGCAAGCAATGTATTTTACAGTGTCTCAGATCTCCTCAGACTTGCAAAATCCTATGCCTGTCTTATTAATTTGTGGAAAAAAACCCAACCCCTGAATGCCCTTGGAAGTCACTCCATTAAAATAACCAGTGCTACAACATCTGTGTGTAGCATTTCACTCATTAAATATAGAGCATCATCTGTTTCTTCCTCTTTAGTAGTTCTGACCATCACCCTTTTTTGACACTGTCAATGAATTGTCAAAGTAATGATTATCACATCATCATGTATCAACGTAAGGGTAGAAGAATAAGGTTTAAGGGTAGGAAGTTGATAATGAGAAACGTGTCTTTTTAAAAAGGCAAAATTCCTTCCATTGAGGATTTGATGCCACACCTCATTGTTATACCTATATTACTTCATGTTAATTAGTGATTTTGTACCAAAGATACCACTATCCATTTGCCATGGAAAATGAAAAATTTACTGTCTTGCCTTCACTGAGCACACCTCTGAGACATGAGTACATTCTTTCTAAGTGTAGAGGATGGGGTGTGGAGGATTGGCCACTGCTAAGCCTTAGTCCATGCTCCCTGACCTCTTCTAGGGGCAACTCTGGTTGCAGTTTGTTCACCAAGCCTCTTATATCAAAGGAAGAATAAGCAAACCCAGCAGGTTTTGGTTAAGGATCTGACTTACCTGATTTCCTAATATCTAGACATTTCTGTTCTGATATGTCGGGTTTGTCAGATGCTGCCAGGGACTGAGATCATTGCATAACCGTTTCCTTAAGTGTGGGCCATGAAATCCTTTCTGGCAGCCTGTGAAAGACCACATAGCAAAATACTTCCTGATATCAAGAGCAGAAGGATCTCTTCTTTCAGCTCCAAACGTCAGCTTGGGATTGTGCGTTGCAGAGAGCTGACCAGATGTGTGGAGCTGGCTTTCTATTTACAGTAGATGGATATTGGTATTGTTGGTTTTAATGAGTTTTGGATAGATTCAAAGAGCTAAAGAACTTTATGTAATTGCAGCATACTCTCTGCAGAAAGTGCTGACCATTATGATATTGCTTGGTATCAAACATGGTGAAAAAGGGAAGCAGGACTTTGTAACTCTTGATGACATCCTGTACCTTGCTGACTTTTTGTATTAGAGAGGGGCTATATTGCCTGATATTAACCCCTCTAACAAGAACTTTGACAGAAATATCAAAGCCTTTCTAGTTTTTCTAGGCTTGAGAAAAATAGAGCTGTTACTATAGGATGCTGGTTGATAGAGAACTTCTGTCTTCTTTAAGCTGACTTCCAGCCCAAAGAGCTCAGCAGCGTCTGCAAAGCAGGATGTTAAACGCTGCAGAGCTGCTTCTGTGTGGGCAACAAGGGCGGCATCATCAGCATAAAGCAGCTCCTGGACAAGATGGTCTAAGGTCTTAGTGTGGGCCTTCAGTCGCCTTAGGTTGAAAAGGCTTCCATCAGTACGATATCGAATGTAGATACCATCCTGATCATCGAGGTCTGCCGTGGCCCTTTGGAGCATCATGCTGAAAAAGACTGTGAATAGGGTTGGTGCGAGAACACAGCCTTGTTTCACACCATTAGTTATTAGAAAGGGCTCAGAAAGTGCATCGCCATATCTGACTTGGCCATGCTGATCCTCATGGAGTGAGATGATCATTTTAAGGAACTTGGGAGGATAACCTAAACATTCAAAAATCTGCCGCAGACCTTTCCTGCTCACAGTATCGAAAACCTTGGTGGGATCAACAAAGGTTACATAGAGACCTTTGTTCTGTTCCCTACACTTCTCTTGTAGTTGTCTGAGAACCAATACCATGTCTGTGGTACTCCTGTTGGCTCTGAAACCACACTGGCTTTCAGGTAGGAATTTGGAGGTAATGATTTTTTTTGTCACACAGGTACGGCCACTCCTCCGCATTCCGTCCTGGCTCAGTTCTCAGGCCGTCTCCGGGTTTTTTTGGCTCCTTTCTCTCTCTCTCTCTCTAGCTGCTGCTGCATTTCGGGACTCCCTAAGGGTTTGGAAGTCCACCCTTCCTCTTTTCAGGGAGTCTCTGAGTTTTGGGAAAGTAATAGTCTTACCCCAAACCAGCTCTGTTGAGTTCACCTCTGTTTTGTTGCCAGCTCTCCCTCCTGCAGGAACATCTCTGCGTCTTTCAGCCGGCTTCACATTATCTCGTTGCTACTGGCTATCTTTTGGCTTTTAGCCACCCTTGTCTCTGTTCAGGACTGCTCCGCTGCCAGTCTTCTGCTGCTGCTGCCAGTAAGGAAACTTTTCCAGCTCCTGATTACAGGACCCGGTCCAGCTTTGACACTATACCGGGTCTCCCGTAGCCTCAGCTGGGGGCTGGGGGCTCTTGGCCCCCAGAGGGGCTCACTGGCCCCCTGCCTCCTTGTGGCTCAGATCATGGCTACCTCTCTTCTAAAAACTATGTTCACCACCTTCTCTTCTGTTTCTATGGGCATGTGATTTCTGTAGGGTGCACGTGGACTATTGATTGGTCCAATATTATCAGTGGGGCAAACCATTACTACCCCAAAAAAAAAAGGTTTTTCAAACCACCACACCAGGATTTTGCCAGCAATGGAGAGCAGAGTAATACCACAGTAATTTGAGCAGTCTGATTTGAGCCTTCCATCATCCCCATATCACCACTGGTCAATCAGAGCTCAAATCAGTCCAGCAGTTTAATTACCTAGGTAGCCTCCTCTCCTTGGATGGTAAGATCGATGGAGAGATAGACAACAGGTTAGCAAAGGCATATAGTGCCTTCGGAAAGCTTCATAAAAGAGTTTGGCGAAATAAACACTTGAAGAAAAGTACGAAGATCAGTGTTTACAGAGCCATAGTGCTGTCCACTCTCTTATATGGATCTGAATCATGGGTCATCCACCACCACCACCTGCGACTCCTAGAATACTTCCATCAACGCTCTCTCTGTACAGTCCTAAACATCCACTGGTCAGATTATGTGACCAATACATCTGTTCTAGAACAAGCAGCAGTCACAAGTATAGAGGCCATGTTGCTGAGAACACAGCTGTGCTGGGCAGGACACGTCTCAAGGGTGAAGGACCACTGCCTCCCTAAGATCTTACTTTATGATGAATTTGCCACTGGCTGCCGCAAGAGAGGAGCCCTGAAGAGAAGATTCAAGGACTCCCTGAAAGAACATCTCAGCCTTGGCCATACTGATCAACATAACTGGTCTACTCTGGCCTCCAATTGGGAGGTCTGGAGACACACTATGTAAAACACTGCTGATGCTTTTGAGAACGCATGCAGGATCACTCTCGAGGAGAAAAGACAATGCAGAAAGACTCGTGCCTTACAGAATATTCCACCTAAGGAGTCTTTCTGCTGTGCCTTTTGCAACCGGACGTGTCTATCTCGTATTGGCCTTTTTAGCCACCAATGCACTTGTAACAAACGTGGGTAGAGCCCTTCCCAAATCTTTGTTCATGAAGCCTAGCCATGACAGTGACTATAGGATACAGAACTATTACTATAGGTGCTGTGCTCCTGATGTAAGAAGCTTACTTAAGTTTATGAAATTACTTGGGATTAATATAAAGCTCAAAGTTGAGTGGAAGTGCTAGTTTCTATGATCAGAAATATATATGGAATATATCTGTGTTTATGAATTCTACTTTTGGTAAAATACTGCACCATTTCCTGTGGAAAATGCTGGTGCCTTATTTATTGTACTTCCAAAACACAGTGCTGCTATAGACAAAGTTGTTTGTCAGCTGGGTGAGTTTATTCCTTCTAAAATACATGAAACCTTGAAAAAGAAATACAGGAGAAATGTTTTCCATGTGATTGAACTGTGTGTCGTGACTTCTGGCAGTGCTCCCCTGGGCCTGTGCTGGTGTTCTGTTGGTTTTGATGAGTTCCACTTGGGTATGGGATGTCCAGGCCAGCATGAACTTTTCAAATTGGAATTTAGGAGGAAAACTTTT